TATAATAAGAAAAAAATTATAAAAATAAAACAAAAAAAAAAAAAAGAGCATAAGAGCGAAACAAACAAAGCCATTAATTCAACGACTTGAAGAAATTTTCATAGTTTAAGTGATTTGGTGGGAAGAAAAAAAGGCGTTCAAATAAAAAAGACATTGGAAGCAAATTTGTTAAGCAAAATAAAAAAACTCTTCAAAAACAATGAAAGAAAAAAAATACATGAGAAAACTATATACGCCGCCTTCAGGCCGATCTACGTTACGTACCCACCATCTTCGTTTAACATAATTGTTGGTGCGACGTAAATGCCATAATGATGGAAAAGCATAATCATACAAGAAGAAGTGAGCAGCACATGTGGAATCCTACAAGTGAATAAAATTCGATAAACCAAGAATTTGAGGCAGTGATTGAGCCAATTACGCGGCCAGATCATAAACCGTGATTTAACCGTTAAATAATCACGATTAAAACCGTTGTTTAAAAAATCATAATCGCCGTTCGCGCACGAATGTTTAAAAGCGTGTCGAGAAACGTAATCCATATCCGTGGTCACAATTCCAGGACGAACAAGGTTCACCAATAGCGTTCGGCAATGCAGCGTATTCACTGCAGCATACTCACTGCAGCGATAGAACCAGCAGCCTTCTCAAAAAATGCTGCCAGCCGCCAAACTGACACTAGTCAATGTTGGGATTCTAGATGCGACAACTTTGCTTGCTTATATCTTTTTTTTTCTGTTAAATGTTTCAATACGTTGTGTGTTGTTTCCAATCTATGTACTCGCGGCGCATCATGAAGCTGTCGGCCGAGGAAAACAATTAGCGGAAAAGCAGGTTAACTGATTAAAAATGAACCCTTGAGCTTAAGTAATCAATATGCTCAGTCGGACAAGAACATATGAGTCGAAAGAGAATATTAGAGTTGAGAAATCAACAAATTCTAGTTCAGTTCGATTAGATTTCCTAAAAACTCCACTTTTGGAAGGTAGCAGCCTGCTTTTGAACTTGATTGCATCTTGGAAAACATATTTCGCACAGCTTTCAAATTTGAATAGCAGTTTTTTGGAAATATATTCACGGAATTGAAAATTACAGAGAGAAATGTGAACAGAATTTTGGCGATTTCTGAGGTTGTTCTAGCCTTCTTCATACTGACAGTTTGGAAAGTCAAACTTTTAGTCGATCAAGGAGTTGAGGCACATTTCAACTTCTTATCTTCATTTTTGAGACTCGGAAGATTCCCAAAATTTACCTGTTGACAGGTTTTCCTAAATATAGGTACACAATATCACATTTTTATCAACATAGTAAGAAGTGGAGTGTTGCGTAAAAAAAGAGTAAACCTATTCATTCGTCGCATTATATTTTCTTCTTCTTCTTCTGCGAGTCACCAGATCAACAACAGATGATTGACAGAGTTGAGTAAAAATACCATATGGTGTAGTGGTTAGGACGTTTGGCAATTGCTCTGGCCAAATATTGCACTTTCTTATGTGTGCAACGTATGAAGTACTGATAGCTGCATTATATCATTATAAACCAATACATAAATTTGTGATTTCCAATAAAATAAATCCAACAAAGTCACCAACGTTTAGAAAAAAAGAAAAAACAAAATAAAGCCAAAATGAATTCAATGCAGAAATCAATCCCAGTGATTCCAACATTAAGATTTTTGTCCTTTAATCAGGATTACAATTTCTTTAAACTTCATATTGGCTTCGAAAATAAATATTTTTCCTTGTTTATGTTGTATATTTCTTTGAGCTGAATACGAAATTCAGTGTAACTTTTCTTCCAAGAATAAAAGAACAGAAAACTTTTTCATTTCGCTTAAAATCTTTTGAATAAATTATGATTTACAATGAAGAAGAACAAGTTAAGATTTTATTTATTTTTAATTTTTTTTTTTTCTTTTGACTTGTAAAATGATGATAAACCCAAGGCGGTCTGGATTTTAATGATAAGATTTGTTTTCTTTTTTAAATATAAAATTCATCAAGATTTGAAGTTTTTTGTAATAAATTATAAACGGAGGGAAGAACGCTTTTAATAAATTTGATAATAAAAACAATTTTCGTTTATGTTTTACAATAATAAACAGCACATGCCGCCCTCATGCCCACTATTAACATCTAGTTAGTGATGTCATTTTATGTGGCAAAAATAATTTTTGTTTAAACACCGTTGTATTGTTTGGCTCTTGCCCGAAAAACGCTGTTGCTATTGCTGTTGCTGTTCTTGCCTCTTATCTGATGGTCATTAAAAGTAAATCAACCTTAATGCCAAAACATAAAAAAAGAAGAAACACTTTCTGAGTAAACAACCTTCAACTAAAAAGCAGGCGAAAAAGCATTATCCAAATGTAAATAGAAAAGCTCATCAGACAGACAGAAAACAACGAAAAAAACAACAACAAAAATTTAGCGACAAATAATGTACACAGAGACTAACAACGCTAAGCAACGAAGGAATGAATAAGTGAATGAATCTGAGTAGTAGGAATCACTTAAGTAGAAGTTTTTTTTTGGTCAGAGATTTTTGCAAAAAAAAAGGTGAACACTTTTGCCGGATTTTATAAAATACATTTTAGATTACAGTTCGTTATTGTTGCGAATTTTGTTATCATGACACAATTAATTCAATAAACTTGGATTTATTTATTTATTTTATTTTTTCTTTTTTTAACAAGCAAATACACATCATCAGTAAGAGAAGCTCCCGAGTAAAACAAGCAGGGCGATCTGAAATACAAATAAGCGTATAAAAATTGGCTACATCTGAGAATAAGCGTCTGTGATTTTGAATAATTTGTATAAAAATTCCAAATTGAGAATTGTAAACAAATGTGGACGCTTCTTCTCAGATGTTTGGAATTTTTATTGTTTTGCACTACTTTTCATCACTCCAGTGACGTTATTTTTCTTAATAGGACGCCATCGGATCGGAGTCACTTCCATTTCAGGTTTAATCCTTTGAACAAAATTTGAATCCAATTCTCTTTAGCTTTCATCTGAATTCCGACTTAGAATCGAAAAAAAATTTGAAAATCAACATATTTGGTTAAAATCTGCTATCCCCGGCTAAGGCGTTTGCGTCCCAAGTCATTCGAAGCCTACTCTGATTATCTCAAACAAACGTTGTACAAAAGCTGAATATAGTTCCTTCCTTGCATATTTATCTAAAATGTAATTTTTTCGATATTATGAATATATCTACGACCAAGCATGCTAAAAATAACTAGGGAGCAGTAGGTTTCTCTTGGAATAAACATTAAATTAATTGATGTTGAGTAGCTTTTATGTATGAATTTTGAATACAAACCTCTTTCTTCTCTAGAGTGATCAGAAAACGATATTTAATTCTTAGTAATTCTTAATAATTTTGGCAACTACGTTACTTCTTCATTGTTTCATTCATTCGATTTACCGAGATATGATAAAATCTCATTGGTTTTGTCTAAATATTACATCTTTTTTAGAAGTTGAAATGCAGTAAAGTTTCTTTTAATGCGATTTCCATATTTATGCACACATTTTTAGTGAAAGCATTTCTATCAGCACACATCAGAAAGCACTATTCTATAGAGAGAGAAAACGCTTTAACCTTTCTTTCATTTTTGATGTCAAAAAGAAAAATTTTGAAATTATATTTTATATCAGATGTGATTATTGTTTCATAGCCGGTTTAATATTTTTAAATTTCAGTGCACCGCAGTATTAATAAACATTCCGGATTTATGAACTACACAATTTAAGCAGTGGCTAGCGTTTACGTCCAGAAATTTTTATAATGAAATTTTGAAACTGATAGGTGTTTCATAGGTGTCTGTTTTAATCACTGTTCTGAAAATTTTTATTATAACTCCGTACGTAGCTACTTCTGCGCCATTAATATTACTTTTCATTTCAAGCCGACAAATAAAGTTGAAGAAAACAAAAAGCGAAAACGAAAAATAAATGGAGCTCTCGTTAAAATTGTATACATAGGTAGCTCATAATAACAAGCTATAAGAAAAATGTAGGCAAGAATTTTCCCATAAATCAGGGAACATCGCCGCTGAGAACTAATCAAAGGAAAATTTCTTCCAATTATTATTTCATTTAGGGTAACCATCCTTGTTCTGCCGCAAAATTGCCGCAAATTGACGAAAACAATGATTAGTTTCAATTTAGATCTTCCGTTTAGATCTTTTTTACCACAAATGAATCCCACAACGTAGCATTCTCGGACAAAACTGCAGCATCTCGTACGCATGTGAAGCGAAAAATGCTTTAAAATTTTTTAGTTATTTTTGTAATTTATTACTTCTGTCCAAAATTCAGACAGTTTTACGCCAATTTTTACAAAACTAGTTTTCTTCAATTTCTAATTGCATACTCTATGAAATTTCATCTTTAATTCGACCGCCTAAAACCAGACTTCACTGTATGTATTTATCCCGTATATAATTGTTTATAGCCCTTTGAAGGTCGCTTTGTTAAAACAAGCAAGAAATTAATGAATCGTGAAAAGAATTTAATTAAATTTGCGACAGTTCTCTCTCAGGTAATCAAAATAAACGCTTAATAAAAGTCTATTCCACAGGGTGCTTTTCGCATTTTCTATAATTTGTGGAATTTAAGCTGTAGGTTCTTTTATTAAAAAAACAATTTTACGATATCTCGTTGATATAGCTTAGGTTGGCGGCAACATTGTAAGGAATTTTATAATGGTGACATTTACTTTAATCATAAATGATAATAGTATTTTTCTAGTAACTCATTACTTATTTAGTTCACAATTTAGGTGGAATTAATTCAGAGGCGAAAACGTTTGATTTTTAATCCACTTTAATCTTTGTAAATTTCATTAATCATTTACCGGCACTTTTTTAACACATATTTGAGCATTTGCTTTGTATTTTACAAAATTCAATTGAATTTATAAAGATGCAATTCAAATATGGCTCATTTTGAGGCAATCTGTGATACCGTCAACCTTGATTTTATATAACTTACCTTTTATTAGAAATCTATTTATTCATTATACAAACTATTACAGAAAATATTCTGGTGTTATTCGGCCACAAAGCTTCATGCACTCCTTTGAAATTATTTTTTTAAAGAAATTTATATATCCAAAATATAACTTTACATATTAATAATAAGCAATAAAAAATGTAAACCGCACATTTTAGTTCCTACTCAAATAAACAAAATTACAAAATTCATTTGACAACCAGATATCAGCTGCTTTATTAACACGTGTTCAATGTTGCCATATTATTTCGGTATTTTTGCATTTCAGAGTAACTTTGTATAGAATGCAATCATCTCATATATAAACTAAGGGAAAAGTCTTATATCGCATGCTATATTTAATTATATCGGACATAATTTGCTGATTTAACTAAAGAAATAAGGAAATTTTATATGAAAACATGGATTTATTAAAAAAAAATAAACACTAGATACTAAATATCCTTAAGTTTTCACTACTTTCCCGATGGCCTTGCATTTTAACAGAGGTGTCCCTTTGTTTTGCCGACAGACTAATTTCGTTACCGTTTAACTATTTATATTCTAGTTCCCCTACTTTGCTTAGTGTTCGAATGTTAACTTTCCTAATATGAGCACATGTGTGGTGAAACGCGCCATATTATGGCTTTGCTAAAAGTAGCGCAATAAGCATTTTTTCTTTCTTTTCAACTTTTCTATTACTGGAGATCACAGCATGTGAAATAATTCCAGACTGTTAGAACAACGTTATTACGAATACAAAGCCCAAATCGGCTAGCGACGCCGAGGAACGTCCAAAATAATCTGAGAATGCGTACCAAGAAATATGACACCCATTTTCTATTATTTACAGTAGTTGGCAGGATCACCTCGGAAACACAACTTCTCTCAGCTAGTCACCGCTACTTGGAAACCAAATACTTAGTCAATTATTGCCAAAACGCCCAAAACAGAAACATATAAATTTATATCACATACAAGAAATCTTCATCCAACAAATATTCCCAAAATGGTACTGCAATATTTACTTGTTAAAATATATGGGAGGCCCTGCAGGTAATTTCGCGTTCCTCCGCTTTATTCACTGAAATTAATCTTCAAAATAATAAAGGCACATATTTTTGTTTTCACTTCAAGCCAAATTAAAATTTTTATTTATTAAGGCAATTTTTAAGGTTGTGTCTGCCAAGAACTTGAAGTTACACCGTATTATAAATTTTATCGGAATATAGACGAAGGATCTATAAACAGAAAAGATTGTTATAATGTACACATAAAATTGTTTGCAGTATATACCTAAAACAGAATCGTTGCCAATTTAATCCAGTTTACTTAGAACGCGCACGCATCTTTCTGCGTTTACGCTTCAACCTCCTCATACGCTTTTTGCGCCACTGGAAATAAAAGAAAAGAAATACAATATACTATAAATTCGGTCCCATGCGTTCTAGTTTCATTGTTCTTTGCATGAAAAATGGCTGACTCAAAATGAAAAAAAACAAAATCAATAATCTTCTGCACAATAAGGAGCTTTTATGTTGTTAAATTATTGCGCAGTACTTTATTTTATTTTTTCTTGCTCAAATTTATTCCACTTTTGTTTATTTTAAATCTTTACCTTAGCTCTCATTTTTTCTTCTGTTCACGACGAAAGTCTGAAACGAAAGAATTTTCTCGTGATAAAATTGCCGGAAGTTCCCTGCCTTATATTAACAGAGTTGCCTGATGTAAGTCTTTGATGCAAATTTACACATACTTTTTGAAAAAGAACATAAAGACGTGACTAGGTTATCGTTTTTTGTCTTATTAACTTATTAAAAACATCTGATCATAAACATACGTTACCTGCCATACTTGCCATACTTGCTCTTTTTTATTTCATATGTAAAAAGAAATGTGCAAATTTTAGATGACACCGCTCCCGCTTACATAAAAAAAATGTTGGTGTATTGATAGTATAAATAAAATAAGATAGAGTATCGTAATTTTTACTGATAACTTTCATTAAGAAGGAAGACTATATGCGGATTATTACTTTGTTACGTTGCGTCTGAATAAGCTACCACAATAACTGAACTGAGTTAGCTTAAGCAATAAGTTAACTTTCATATATCTTGCGTTAATAACTTCTTCTTTAGAAAAGAATGTAAAATAGGAGATTGAAAAATTATTCGTTTTATTGTATTAGTTCTTATGTTTGTACTTTCAATAATATTAATTAGAATTTTATTATGATATGAATTAGTTGGATTAGTTTAGTAATTAATTATTTTTAAAACGTGCGAAATGTTTAAAACACGGAATCTCTTAATTCTGCAAATTATGAAAAACGAAATTATATTTTTTATTTGGGTATAATAAAAATTAATTTTATTGTAATAATAATTTAATTAATAAGTTTTTTTATTCTGTGTTATTTAATTGAATAGATACTTTCTTATTATTATTTATAATTAAGTGTGTAAATCTAAAAATAATAAATGGTTTACAAAAAGAAATAATAAGAAAAACATTTCAAGAGAAAAAATTGTACTCTCGGCAAAGTTAAAGGCAGCTTTTCTAAGAATTTGACAGCAAAGTAGATTTTACTCTCAGAAATAGAATTTTACTTTTAGACAAGTTTTCTTATGAGTAAATGGCCAGAAGTTTCTTACTTTTTACAAACCAAGTTGCCAGATTTGAAATTTGCTACTTTTACGATATTATCTTTTAACAAAACCAGAGTTGTGTTTAACTGTGTTTTATATATTGCAGTTTTGTTGAATTCATGCAGACGTTTGTTACACGATTTTAACGGTTATTTTTTATTTGCATTTTTCTCTTTCAGACATTTTGTGTGGTTTCAAAGCGTTTTCGCAAAAATTACATACATCGTTTTACAGGCACAAAAAGTTTATTCCTATTCCATCCGTGGAGTGCTCCACGTCGTGTCTGCGTTTATATAGCAACGAATCAGTATTTCGATTATTGCGTTATGGCCACTATATTATTTAATTGCATTTTTTTAGCAATGACCGAAACGGTTGAAGAAGCGGAGTAAGTTTTTCAAAATAATATCTAACGTCTTCATTCCGATGTTTAATCTTTCCTCTGTTTATTTATTTAAGATACATCTTCCTAGCCATTTACAGCATAGAGATGGTAATAAAAATCATTGCCAAAGGTTTTCTACTCAACAAATATACCTATCTACGTAATCCGTGGAATTGGTTGGATTTTGTGGTAATTACCAGCGGTTATGCAACTATTGGGATGGAAGTGGGCAATTTGGCGGGATTACGAACGTTTCGTGTACTAAGAGCTTTAAAGACTGTTTCAATAATGCCGGGTCTTAAGACCATCATCAATGCATTGCTGCATTCGTTTCGCCAGTTGGCTGAAGTTATGACTTTGACCATATTTTGCCTTATGGTTTTTGCACTTTTTGCTCTACAGGTGGATATCTCCTAAATCCTATGATGAATAAATCATATAAATTTTAACCATTTGTCGCTTGTTTTTTTTTTTTGTAAACAAGGTTTACATGGGTGAACTGAGAAACAAATGTGTTAGAAATTTACCAGACGATTGGGTGAACACAACAGACGGAGAATGGAAATTGTAAGTGGATTTCGGCATTTGTAAGAAATTATATTTTTATCAAATTATTTTCTAGATGGATAAACGACACCGACAATTGGTTGTACGATGATGAAGAGTTGCCCATGCTATGTGGTAATATAACCGGTGCTCGACATTGTCCGGAAGATTTTACCTGTTTATGCGTGGGCGAGAATCCCAATCATGGATATACCAATTTCGATAATTTCATGTGGTCCATGTTAACAACATTTCAATTGATAACCTTGGACTATTGGGAGAATGTCTATAACATGGTTTTAGCCACTTCCGGGCCAATGTCTGTCTCCTTTTTCACGGTGGTTGTGTTCTTTGGCTCGTTCTACTTAATTAATCTCATGTTAGCCGTAGTCGCTCTCAGTTACGAAGAGGAGGCCGAAATAACGAATGAGGTAAATCTTATAGATTTTTGATTTGAGATTTGAAAATTGAAATTTTCCACTCGTTGCAGGAACGTAAAAAAGACTTGTTGGATCATCGGTAAATATCACTTTTTTCCAAAAAAAAAGCACAGAAATGGCACACATTTTCTGATTGATTTTAAACGCTTACGTATCCAGAAATTTATCTCATATTTCAAAATTTATATATATATATATATATTTATATGGATATGTGATATATTGGCTTTGAAAAGAAGTTCATTTTGTACATAGGTTCTTTTAAGAACGCGCCAGGTCAAGGAGCGTCTTCTTCTTGACCATTTTACTTAAACACAATTGCTTGCCTTCCGTGACCATGTATGCCATAAAATCATTCATTTTTCCAGTGATTGGTTCTGTTGTAGGGCCATAAAAGAGACCTTTACCCATGTTTGTAAAATCACGGTTAAAGTTCGCTCTATATGGTTTTTGGAAAGAGCTTTTCATCTCTGGTCGTATTTCCACCGGTTTCTGTTTTAAATGCTCCAGTTTAAATTGCTCTTCTGCTACGAACGAGTCGAGAGAACTATTGCAGTGAAACCTGCACATATACCCACATGAGTAATAAAATTTCGAATTTCTAGAAAATGTTTAATATTTATATATATGTATGTATGCAATACATTTAAGAATTTTTTAGTATTTTAATTAAACGAAAATTATATAAAAGATCCTTTGACTTAGAAACAGTTGTAGAATTCTTCTGTTTGAAACAATTGATTGGGAAGGTCCTCCCTTTGACTTATTTATAAACTATTTATCTTTTGTTTCATATTTAAAGTAATCAACTAAGTTCCGTTTGTTATTCTTCCCTCGCTAGGCACTGTGCTTTTTTCAATTAACTGCGTTTGCAGGGTCTTACCAAATCTAGGAAATCAGGCTTCGAAAAGAAAAATTGTAATCTTGTAAAAAAGTGCAAAAGAAGATCGTCGATCGGCGATGCGTGAAAGTGATGCCTAGAAACCGTCACTTTTCGAAGTTACCTCCACTTCTTTTTCTTGCCATTTCCGAAAGTAAATTTTGCTCCCATAAAAGAAACCCATCATGCAAAAGAAATACGTTATGCAGTCATAGACGAGTTAGACGCCTCTGAGTTTGAGAAGCTTGACTTTATAAAGCCCCGATTATTTACTACTTTCAGATCTTATTCTTAACTATTTTGAATCTCAATCCAGTTTAGTTTGCGTTTAACGAACCTTCACGAAAAGAAATCCATAAGCAATTTTCCATGCCTTTTATTCTCACATTTTCATTTTTTCTTTCATTTGACACACTTCTGCTGCCTCGCCCTTGACGTCATCTGTTTTGATCACATTTCCGTATTTCACGTATGTTCATATAGGGCTGCGATCGCACTTGTGTTTTGCATTTCCTTAACAAGTCTTTATGTAAAATACTGAAATTTATTTCTCGTAACAAATATTAGCGCAAAACATTTATTCGAATTAAGCTTTTCATACTCTTCACTTGCACATGTGGTACAAGAGTATATTAAGTTTTCGCGGATTTATGGAACAGTCAGAAAACCCACTTGAGTTAGCCGCACTTTTTCTTATACTGATCGACTCGGAATCATTTTCTGAATCCGTCCAAGTTTATCCGTCCTTATGTCCTTATATTTTTGTTTTCAGAGTACCGGTTGTAATGTTTGGGATAATTTGGTGAAATTTGATACATTGACGTGCAGTGGATCGAGTCGGACCACTTTTCCCGTAATTTTAGGATGGTGTAGGATTTAGGATGGCGGGCCGTGCCCCACTATACCCTATTTGCTTGTTATGTTTTCCTTTATGACATTTGCACTTTCACCTAGTTTTCGTTTTCTTGTATCTGATCGCGATTACTGTAAATTAAAAATATTTCATTTTATTATTATTTAGTGATGATTCGACTTTTAGCTTCGACCCGTCCGTTTTAAATGTGAAAAAGCTAAATAAAAACAATAAAAAGAAAATTGATTCACGTAAAGGTGTTCTATTGGCCTCCTATAGTAAAAAGAAAACACGTCGGAAAAAGATTAAAGGATCCGCAGGAGGTGGTAAGGATGTTGGAAATAGTAGTAATCACGAAAGCAATGGCAATGAAACGGTAAGAAAATTGCAATTTTCTAAGAGAAACGATTTTAATGAAAAACTTTCGGTTCTTTTGAGCAGCCTACAAAGAATCATTCGAGTGCGTCTAGTCCTAGCCATAGTCCTCGGCATAGTTCTACCGAACGGCCGACCGATTTAGCTTTAAATTTACCGCAGAAGCAGAACCAGCAGCAACAGCGGCAGCAGCAAAAGAATTCCGATCTCGTACGAAAAGATGGGACGCAGCAGAAGCAAACACGTATTTGTTTTCAAGATGAGACGCAAAAAAGTTCCAATATGTTGCAACCGCCAACGGGTGGAGCTTATAGAGGCCAATTGCAGCTGAGCAGTCGTCAAGCTAGTTCTAATTCTAGTGTGGGCGGTGGTGTGAATCGTGAGTCTTCGCAAGATGATTCGGGCGTGGTAGACGATCATGAAGAGCAGGACATAACTGGATCCGAAATGGTTCATGTTTCTACGGTGGAGTTACAAAATGAGCTGACACCGGTTACGTTGGCTTTGTCGCCGCGGGAAGTGCGCCTTATAAAATGCAATGGCAACATTGCTAGGATTAAAAAGCATAATATTTATGCTTTACATCCGGAATATTCATCAGAAATTGTTGTGATCGGTAAGTAAGATTAGCGAGGGACAGAATTGAATGATTGTGCATATACATGGTTAAGACTTAGTTTAATTTAGTAAAATGTCTACAATCCCTCAGTTAAGCTTTCTTCATTTTAGACGATCTGCCTGATCGCAACTGCGATAGATGCGTTCAATGTTGTATCGATTATGAGGGTTGGCTACAGTTCCAGAACTGCCTTTATAAGGTGCGCTTTTTTTGGACGGGAATGAAATTTTCAAGAACAGTTGATCGGAAATATATTCGTTCACTTTTCAGGTTGTGCGTGATCCATTATTCGAATTAGCCATAACACTATGTATTGTTTTGAATACAGCTTTTCTGGCCATGGAGCATCACGGCATGAGTGAAAACTTTCGTAATGCGCTCGATGTAGGGAATAAGGTAATGATTCAAAAAATTTTAAAATTATTTTTATAATTACAATTTTATATAAAATATTATTTCAGGTCTTCACCTCTATATTCACTTTTGAGTGCATTGTAAAGCTAATGGCTTTGTCTAAAGATTTTTTCTTATGCGGTTGGAATATATTCGATTTGATTATTGTTACAGCTTCTTTGCTGGATATAATATTTGAATTAGTTGACGGTCTAAGTGTTCTAAGAGGCTTAAGATTGGTGAGTTTCAATATTAAAAAATTCTTATCCATAACCTATTTTTCCATATATCTCTGGCTTGGCTTATTTGAAAGCTATCACGATCGCGACACTCTCAAATTAATCAAATACATATCTGAGAAGTGCTTTCAAATGTATTTTTACCTTCTTTTCACAAAAATTCAGAAAACTTTCAGGTTCGCCTTGTTTTCAACTTTACAGCTTCAAAATGTTCACTTCTTAATTTTGAATTTAACTTTGGATAACGTCATTTGACGTTTTCGGCGTTCTCGAATATGCGGGGTTTCATGAAAAGTATGAGATCTAAGTTTCTCAGTCCGTCTGTCCGTTCTATGCCTGTCCATCTGCTCTTACGTTCAAGCTTTTCGACACATTTTGAAAAAATTTCGTACAACGAAGTGCTTTGGCACAATGACGAACACTCAGATCAGACCTCTTTTTCAAGCACTTCCCTTAAAACTCCTAAAATCACTAACAGCGCCAATAATTGCGCTGAAGGTCGTCGTATTAATAACTGTGTTAAATGAAGGAGTATAGAGTATTCATTGGCTCACTATAGAGCTTTGACTTGTTCTCGCACTATGGTTTTTTTCGATCTAGATAGATATTTGTACCAAGTTTTATAAGACTATTCCCCCCCCATAAGTTGAAAGTTCCAGTTATTAGGGAAAATCTCGCTCTAAATATATCTCGTGTCGTAGCACTTGCTCGAACACTTTTTCGCAAAGACTGAGTGACTGACATTATCACGAAATCAACTCGAAATTTTCCGTTGAGCGATCTTCTCAACGTATATTATATTAATTTCAAAAATGTCATATAAGAAAAGCTAATCTTGTGTTGTAATTGCTTTTTAAAGCTACGGGTATTAAAATTGGCTCAGTCTTGGACGACTATGAAGGTATTGTTAAGCATTATTATATCAACGATTGGAGCACTGGGTAATCTGACGTTGATATTGGTGATTGTGATTTACATATTTGCCGTGATTGGTATGCAATTGTTTTCTAAAGACTATACACCCGATAAATTTGAGCCGGATCCAGTGCCAAGGTAAGAAGTCTTCTTCTTCTACAAGTTGTATATTAATTAATTTAAGAAAATTTGAAAATAATTTTCAGATGGAATTTTAATGATTTCTTCCATTCGTTTATGATGATTTTTCGTATACTATGCGGTGAATGGATCGAGCCTCTATGGGATTGCATGAGAGCGGAAGAAGAGGTTTTTTCGTTGTTAATATTTATTCTCATAAATAATTAATTTTAATTAATTGATATATGTGTTTGTTGTTGTTTTCAGCAAGGCGCCTCTTCTTGTTTCGCCATCTTTCTGCCCACACTAGTTATGGGCAACTTTATGGTTTTGAATTTGTTCTTGGCGTTGTTGCTCAACAGTTTCAATTCGGAAGAATTGAAGTCGAAGAAAGAGGTAAAATTTTATTGTTTTCTTTATTTTTTTTAAAGGAAGTCCCTTTCGTTAAAATATGTGTGTGGTTTGCAAGTTTTAAAAAAGTTTTTTTTTTTATATTAAAATAACAAAAAAAAAAGAGATATGAAAAGCAATTATGATGAGCTTTAAATGTTCTTATGTGCAACGAAAATGAATTTTGTTGTTTTTATGTTTTATGTCCAACATGTGCGTCATGTTTATCAAAAAAAAAAAAAAAAAATAAGCAAATAAAACTTTGAAAATGGTTTGTTAACCAATAAAAGATAATAAATAAAAACTCTTAAATTTACAAAATAATTAAAAACACATGACCAGACTTGGGATAAATCTAGAGCACTCAACTCATCATCTTGGAAAATAGTTATGTTATCTAGTGTTTTGCATAATTGAATTATTTGTTGACTTATTTTCTTGTTGCTTGAAATGAAGTGTTAGCTTAAAAATGGAAATAATAACTTCTGATAAGTTCCATCATAGGAGACGGTAGCCTAGAAAATGGACCCCAACAGGGTCCACACCAAAAATGGATACTGGTAGGGTATCTAGGAAACTGTGAATATTGGCTGTTCTACTTCTAAGCAATGGTGAATTGTGATAGGGTGTATTCTCATAAGTAGCGGCGGATTTTCAACGTTTCTATTCCGAATGTCACGTCTTCTCTGAAAGCTAGTGATGATCGCAATTCGTATCCCAATAGGATGTGTTCTAATGGGTAACGACGTGCAAACACATGAACACCCAGTGTTCGCTTTAACATTAATATTTATAACAGATCTTTTTACGATTAAAGTCACAGATGTACGCCCCATTACAAACGCGTTACGCAATCTTACGAGATCTCTCACCTCTTCACATCTTCCGCCTTTCACTCATGACGTTTTATATTCACCTGTAATTGAAAACCCTTTGAAGTTTTTCCTTTTTCTTTAATGTTTCTTGTATTTTTTCCAGATATTTCGCTTTTTTAAGCATAATCTTGGAAGCAGAGATATTAAGATTCCCAATTAGTTTCCTATTTCGAACGTGTTGAGGATTATTGGACGATGCTGAAGTCTTCTTCAAAAGATGTAGTTCTATCGTTCGTCTAACTGATAAGCATTGTATAGTCGCGATTTGTGAAACCCAGCGAAACCTAATCCTTTGCTATTATTATTTTTCATTATTATGATGCGTATTTTTACAGCTTGTTTGAGACGTTGTATGAAGACGGTGTTGGTGAAGTGCATTAAGGCATATTACATTACTCAATAAGTCTCCAATCTGACAAATATACGGCAACACTGTTGACAAGCTTCAAACGAAATGCGCCAGGAGTTCATGACATTGCGGCTATTAGTTTACGAGTACCTTATGATTTAGTGATGTTACTTGTTTCGCTGCTTAGAACGCCTTTCACTACCACTCTGTCCGCTCGGTCGACTACCGATTTGGTTTTGAAGTGTCGTGATGACTCCATGTTTCATCCATTGTCACATATCCCGTGAGGAAATATTTTCTATTCGTTCGATGTCAAACGTGAACAGACGCTACGCTCAATTCGAGCAGAGCTTTCTCATGGCCAAATGTTGCCATGCAACATATATCGTAAATACATGGCTTTCCGATATCTTTAAGGTGTCACCTATCTCAAGCATCTTCAATTTACACTCCTTTAAAGGTATTTTGTAGACTTTTTTTATGTTTTCGAGAAGAACTGCCGAATGTAACTGACTAGAATATTCACCATTATCGATGCTCTTACGCTAATGCTGAATTTAAATGCTCTTTTTTCTCGTTATAAAACTAGGATCACTATGACCTGCAAACTAATCGTCGGAATGGACTGAAATTTTGCCACATATCGTGTGAAGGTTGGTACTGTTCACAAATCAAAAGGGTTTCTTGAACAGTGCTACCGTGTATGGGTCAGGCCGGAGACTTTGTGAGTAATATAAGATACAAAACTGTAAGATTGTGCCTGAGGAGTTATGGAGACATGAAACTCTCACCACTTTTCACTATTTTGTTCTCTGCAGTGATAGTCAAGTTTATGGCCTATAGTTGCTTCGATTGCATTTGTTGAGACCTTGAAGGCGATCCATTTCCATTAGAAACAAGGTTCCTTTCTTTGCTTCTAGTGACATTTGCACTAATTTTCGAATTGCAATGGTGATGCTCTATTAAATATTTGATCACCTTAAGGTAATTAAAGAAATGAAAAGACTACTGGACACAATAACCTAATAACTAACCTATTAAATTGATATGTGACCGTCTTAAACACATGACGTACACACTTGACAGCGTTTTTAAATATGAAAAATAAAAATGAAAATAAATAATTCTTTTAAAGTAACTCTCAGTGTTATTAATCGGTGTTTGCTGCATATTTATAGGGAATGTTAAATATATTAGAACAAAAAAAAAAAAAAAAAAGAAAGAAAAGCATTGAAAAAAATAAAAAATGCAAAGAAATTAGTTTTGCACTTTTTTGTCTAAATTGTTATTACTGTGGATGTGATTAGATGATAAGCGTGTTTTTGTTAATAAAAGGAAAATGTGTGTGGGAATGTGTTAGATTATGAAATATTTTATAAAGTACACATTAACAAAAAAAAAACATAAATAATTTAATGAATAAAACAATACACTCTCTATTAAAGATCACATCTTTTATTCATTTTTCTTCAAAAGATATTTTTTTCGCATTTTCTCATTACTATGCCATTCACTATACTACTAATCCCCTGCAGTCACAAGCGTTTATCGCATAAATCATTCTTCTGCTCTTCTTCTCTTGGCTTGTACAACCTAACACTAGAACTATCGACGTTTTCCATATACCTATTTCTACCGAAAGATCTGAATTTGATCCTCTTTTCATTTGCGAAATTGACATAATCGCAAAAATAACGATAAGAAGGCGAAATTTCGCATAAACATTCCTTAATCGCTTAGAAAGCTGCGCTTAAAAGATCTCTGTGGTCTGTCTACACGAACGCCTACAATGAAAAGAAAATTGAAACAACTTTGAGAAAACATGGACAGATTTTCCAAATTTTCCTCGATGACTTTTGATCCTGTGAAGATATTTCGCGCATAACACCCGATCCCACCCGATCGAAAATAGTTATTTAATTGTATTATTTATGCTAATGTTTTTAAATTTTCTGAAGTTAAGTAATCTGCCTCTATCCATTAATTTTATCAAATACAGACTTTTATAAGGATAAACATGAAGCCCGATATTTATTTTGCTTTTGAGCTAAACTATAAAAATTTGCGTTCCATATCGGACAAATACTCATACGCTGTCGAGTACCAATAACCCAAAATGCAAATTCGATCTTGTGTTTGCTTGTAAATCGACCCATTTTTAGATCAAACACGCAGGTGGATTTGACAAACATTTCGGTAGCAAGAACATTGTTTTGGCTTCTCATTGATCGCGCTCTTGTTTGCAGGCAGAACGCAACCAATTCTAACCAGTTAACTGCATATGAGGAATATGTACGTCATAATCTGTCTATCCGTCTTTGTCGGATTTCCTCATAAAATTTTATCAATATGTTTGTATTTATGTATTTGTATTTGCCGTAATAATATATTTTGCTAAACATTGTCCATTCGTCATTTTGTGTCATTCCAACCTAATTACACATGCACATATTCGACGAGTATACGAGTACACGGCTAACGAAGTCGAGGCAGTCAACTGGTTAACATTGCATTCCTAATCGATCAAGAAATATTTGTGCTACTCTTCACCTTCCTATCCTCTAGCTGGACCAGGTAGAAAAAATGTATTGTATATGAAGGCTTGGAACGCGTTTGGAACATTACCCGTATTTCTAGTGTTAAGCTGGACAACTGAACCTGCCTTTCTTTGTTTTTCTAATCCATTTAAATGTATACAATAAATATTTACCACAATTTTAAATACTATATAACTATTTTTGTTTTAATTATAAATACCATATAAAAGAGGTTTTAATTTTGATTAATTTTTTTAATAATTTTTTTTATATTACTTTTCTCTTTCTCTCTCTCCTTTCTCTCTTGCTCTCTCTATTCCTGTAAATACATGTACTTTTGTGCTTAACTGCCAAATTATTACATGTGTATTTTTGTGTGTGTGTTTATTTGTAAAATTTTCTAAATTAAACGTAATTATTTTTAAAAAACATTCGCACTTTAAAAATGTTTAAAAATAAAAAAACGAAACCAAAAACTATCTACACTATATTGTGTTCGTTGAGGAAACAAAAAAACAAAAAATGAAAAAAAACGCCTTCATTTATGTCAATTTGAACAATAAACGCGAATAAAAATTCGCCATATAACCCATAACAAACTAAACCTTTTCACAGATATTCAAAAAAAAGGTAATTTTAACGTTCGCTTTAAGTTTCGGTTACTATACCCACCACGAATGGGCTTTATTGGTAAATTGACCAAATGTTGCTAATGCTTAGAAAGCATTTCAAATAATATATGTTTACAGCATAATTGATTGACTTATGTTTGTCGGTCTTTTTGTCTGCCTGTCCTTCAGCTAATATGTTCATTAAAAGCTTAAAACACGATAGCGGGCTATGGCCCACCTTTAAATACCCTACATTACTTCGTTTATTCCAGTTATCGATATAATGACTTTTTCAAATAATCCGTTGTATGGCAGTGGTCGAAGAAAGCCTTTGTTCTTGCGTGTGAGAACGTCAGTGTATCAAATTTAATCAAAATAGCTCAAAAACTGCAACCGACACGTTGAACGCAAAGATACATGAACGTACATCATATGGACGAACGGACGGACAGACATGCTTAGCTCGATCTAATACATCTTTAGCCCGTTTTCGTGTTACGTATACGTCTGTATAAAACTTCTTCTAAAAATCTTCAATCGGAATATGTACATTTTCCCTTTTAAAGGATTATTTACAAAGTGCGGGAAAAATCATATAAAGAATGATATTGAAAATAAGTACTACGTACGATGTATGATCAATATATCATATGAACGAACCTTAGCTCGTTCTTACGCTCGCATGTTATATACAAGCTACTGGTGGGTATTGGATGATTCGCCCTAAGGCGAATAAGAGTTTTTTACTTGTTTCTTCTTTCTTTTTATTGTTATGTTTTGTGTTTCGTTGTCACCTTTTTTAAAAATCCTTTCTTTATTTGCCTGAGTTTGGAAAGAAAAAAAAATTTGTGATATTATTAATAAGGCTGAAGCATGTGAATTAGAGAACTGCCTAAAGCAGTGAATTGGTGTTCATTTCGTACGCTTTCTTGTTTGTGATAAACGTAGAAAATATTGGCTCAAGAAAAAAGTATATTTTCTTTTTATACTTCACCTTCTTACCCATCATTATGTTAAATTTCTTTTAATTGATATGAAATTGCATTCGCCTTTTGTATTAGGAAGTGGGGGAGGAGTCGAAGTTGACGCGTAGCATCGAAAGGGTAAGAGATTTGATACGAAAAAAGCGGCAAGAACGTAAAGAACGCAAAGAGCGTGAATATGCTGAAAAGTTTCATCAAATTGTTATTGAAGCTCAGCAAGCGGCCGCAGTGGCAGTCGATAAACCGAGTTTGGTAACGGAAACGAAATTTCATAGACTAAGCTATCAGGTGAATAATTTTTGTGTTTATAGTAGTTGTAAGCGTGGATTGAATTATTCTTATTATTATTATTTTTTTTATTTGCAAAGGAGTCTATGAATCGTCCAGTCTCTGGTTCAGATTTCGGTTATCAAATTCCTCTTAAGGGCAGCTTACATACCATAGTTGATGGTGTGGAAACTGAAGATGATCGAAAATCTTATACCTCGCAGCAATTATCGTCGCATTTAACGCAAACATCTCATACGCCTCAACATCAGCAGCCGGCCCTGCAGTTGCTTTATCAGCAACAACATCCTACTAAGCCATCTTCGTTTGATGGCACAGTTTCCAGCTCCTGCCAATTAGACAATAACAGCCTAAATCCTCAGGCTGAGCGTCGTTTATTACATCAAATGTCTTCCGGTTTTGGTACACAGCCAAATGATTCGCGCGATGAACCCACAACATATACCGAATCCATCGAATTACGTTTAATGGGTCAATTCAATTCGACCGATACTGATCCATTCGCGACTACAACGGATCAACGTAGTGGCTCATTTATGCGTGCCGATTCTTTGCCAGAGAGTGCAATGCGTCGTCCATGCAGTGAAGAGCACGATGAAGCCTATTTGCGTTACCAGAAATCGCTGTTGACCCGTTCACCCAGTTATCGTAAATCATTGGATCGTTTATCACAATCAAGCGATCAATCACAACGATCACTGATACCTTCACGCAGCCTTAGGTCAGATGATGATTTACATTTGAGCGTGAGACGTGAACCGAGCGGCCAATCAATTAACACAATATCCATCGAACATGAAGAGCTACTATCGAATCAGGCCAATTTACGCGATGAGTTACTAAATTGTGATCAAAAGGAACTTTTCCAATTTCTACAAGATGAGATAGATAATGGAAACAATTATTGTAGCGATAACACTGGAGCCGTTGAAGCAGATACTGATTCGCTATTAATCGTGGAAGGAAAACGTGAGGATCGTAAACCCTCGTCTAGCAGCATTAAATCGAATTTAAGTTACCTTTCAAATTCCATCTTACAAACTATCGAATCGCGTCGTAACGGTAGTCATTCTAGTAACGGTCAAGACAACGATAGCCTGCCATTAGTCGAGCATTCAGAATTTGATAACATAATACAGAGCTTTGAGAAAGAATTAGAAGAAATTAAGAAGTCTACTACCTCGCTAGAAAGGCGGCTGTCCACGCTTTCGGAACCATCACCGGCAGCCGATGAGGCTAACAAAGCCATTTTGGAGCATATTGCTGTCATAACTGGAGCTTCCGAACGTACGGCAGCTGATGAGGTTGTGCACATTCTGAATCCTTATGATAGTTACGATTTATCTACTGTACCGCGACGTCAACAAACTTTACCGGCCACAACACACAGCACAGCGACAAGTCTTATTTCGGTCAAGTCGAAGCGACGTAGTTTAGAAAAGCAACGCAAAATTGATGAGGACTTTAGTATCTCGAATGAAATACGGAAAATTTGTGATCAGATACATGCACCATTCGTGGAGAGTATGGCTGTGGCGGCTACAGCTGCATCCGGCGCTCAATCACCTTTTATGAAGCGTAAAAGTGATTTGTTTAGCGCTCAAGTAGATCGTTTTAAGCGCATGTCGTTAATAGAACGAGTGGAAGAGTTGCCGGAAGAGGAGAAACCAATATCGACATTGCGGATGGAATCGGAAAAACTGCCAAGAAAATGTCTAGCACCCGAAGCGATTAAAGTAGACAGTCTGTCGTTGAAAAGTACGAATTCCTACGAAAATTTGTTGATATCAAAGCAATTGAATCGTGCTAAGCGACAGGACAGTTCGACATCGTCGTCGGCTGCAGTGCCACCTACACCACCTACATCGCTTAAATCGACTATTGAACCACCCACACTTACTCAAATGTCTTCATTAAAAGCCACACCACCCCTGACTGCCTTGACTGAACACCAGCAACACTATCATGCCACTACGGCACAGACGCAAGCAACACCAATCCTATCTAAGAAAGAAACTGAGTCGGCTAAACAGCGGAGACCTGCCAAACGCGGCGAGCATCCACAATCGAAATTAGACAAAGCCTCTTCCTTTCAGTCAGCACGCACCGAATCCCATAGCTCTGGGGCCACGGAAGCAACATCATATCTGGCACTAGCCACCACAGATGCGGCTTCAGCACAAATGGGCAGTGGTAGCGGGCAAGAGGGCGCCGCTGGTGATGCTCTCCAGTCGCAGAAGTCAACATTCTCACGACTGACTGAAAAACCATGGCATTGTCTGGTCTCCTACGTAGACGATCTCACTGTCGGTGGGAGACGTAATTCGCAGGGAGCATACAATGATCCCATGACTTTTCCAAGTTTCGGCCACAATAAGCCACCCAAAGTGCCAGACGATTGTTTCCCTCAAAAATGTTACGATCAGTAAGTATTTTTAATTAAATTGTCTTCGAGCATCCTCTTATTTCTCTCAATTATCCTTTAAAGTTTTTACTTTCGTTGCCCGTGGTTTATGGCCTGCATGGATACTAAAGGCGCCAAGAATTGGACTAAAGTGAGAACGGCTGTCTTAACTGTTGTGGATACTCCAGCTTTTGAGTGGTTTGTGCTAGTTTTAATATTCGCCTCCAGTATCACGCTATGCTTTGAGGACATTTATCTGGACAGCAACAAATCATTAAAACGTATTCTATATTGGACCAATTTCTCCTTCTGTTTAATATTCGTAGTCGAAATGGTCTTAAAATGGTTGGCATTGGGGTTTTCCAAGTACTTCACCAGTTTTTGGACAATATTGGATTTTATTATAGTTTTTGTAAGAGAGTTTTTTAAAAAGAAAACTAATGTTTATGATCGAACCTAAGAAGACTAACGATCTCTGCGATATATTTACAGGTGTCCGTGTTCTCTTTACTGATAGAAGAGAATGAAAATTTAAAAGTGTTGCGTTCTCTAAGAACCTTAAGAGCTTTGAGACCATTAAGGGCCATCTCAAGGTGAGTTTTCAGTTTAATTTACTATAATCTCGTTCTCGCTCTTCCTAATTAATTTATTATTAATCATAAAAGTGACTTGAGTAACGGAGAATGCTGTTTTTTTCTAATTTTTCAAAATGTATTCTTGCGATATAATGTTTGCGAAAAGCATTGACTTGTTGAATTGTCGTTTATATGTTTATATACATATATATATATATATATATATATATATATATATATATATATATTTCTATCTCTCTCTCTATCTCTCTCTCTCTCTCTCTCTCTTTCTCTCTCCGGCAAAGCATTAAACATCTACTTTCAGATATCGTCTCTGTAAAGCTATACAATAAATAAGAGAAAAAAAAAAAACATTTATGGTTGAAATGCTCGCCTTATGTTCAAAACACTTTCTTTTTCTTATTTTTTCAACACTTTTTTTCAATCAATTTTTCTTTAATAATAATTTTTGTTTGTTATGTTCGTCATACATATTATGTATGTATGTATGTATGAATGTATGTATGTAATAATTTATGTATATATATGTATGTATATGTGAGCTTCTAATAAAAAAAAGCACTTTATCTTAATATAAAATCAAACAAATTTTGGAAGAGAAAAACCACTGTGATGACCAACGTGATATAAAGAATTTTTGGAAGTGTTTAGTACAATATCGTCTTCTTTAAGGATTTCGAATAGAAATAATCGATTTAAATCCTTAACTCAACATTTAATTAGTAGTCATCGTGAAATCCATTCATTCAATTTGTTGTTGTGTATATATGTGTGTTATTGTTGTTTTCTTGATCACAAAATATTTATTACGTAAAAATACAAAAATATTCGACTTACGTGTTAATTGTGTATTATTCTGTAAAATTACATGAGAATCGTCTTACAAAGCATATTACTAACGGATATCCATCACCGTCGCTTACGGTTCGATTTAAGCTGATTTAGTATGATTTGCTATTAGGCGATATTATCGGCGATAGTTTTATTATTTTTTTTCTTTTTAAGTCTTTCGTGTACTCAGCTTATAACGTATTTTTTAATGAGATTTGGTAAATGTAAGAAATGTGGAACTAACTGGCTTAGGAAATACATTAAAATTCTCTTCCTCTTATTCATCTGTTAAGGGACCTTTGATCTTTTGTTTGGCCAAAATCGCATGCAAAATCGCTAGACTTAAGATCCACCTTTTGCTCTACTGACTGAAGCAGGATCAGTTTTTATCTATCAATTTAAGCTTGTCTGTCTGCCAATCCGTCTTCTTTTCTTTTACTTTACAGGTCGCAACCGTTGAGATTTTGACGAAACTTGTTTACCGACGTCTTTTAACAGATGTACGAACGCTATTCAAAATGTTTTTGAATGAATCAATTTCTGGACAATTTCCCATGTAACGCCTTATTGTGAAGAGTCGTCATATGCCTGACTGTAGGGTGGTCTAGAGTATTTTAAGATAGCAGTGGCCCACTGTAGTCGTTTTGCTTGCTTAGCCTTGGAGCAGTACCAAGCGAGCTTAAATGGAGGAGACGAGCATCGATCAGAAGCAACAGCAAAGTTCGAAATAGCGGTAATTGTATATGTAACTACTATCAAGTGTGGTCTGCCGCAATAAGATTCGAACTCGCGCACACTGACTTGGAAGTCGCGAGGCACAGATATAAATAATTCGATATGTTATGAATATAAATAAAGCCTTACCGGTTTTCCTAAGAGATGGCGTTAATTTACCTGTAAACAATTATCGAATCGTGAATTTGTCACATGAAAGTACAATTTTTAAATCTTATGCCATGGCGTAAGTTATGCCGCTATAATGCCAATTTCCTTCCGACGCCGCTACCGCTTCAACAAACTTTGAATAATGCTCTGGTGGATTTATCTTCACGTTCACATCAGTCGAAAATGCCCGTTTTGCGCACTGTGCTAATTTCTGATCAACATACTCTCTACTCTAAGAACTGATTTGACCATTTCCGTCTGTCTGTCTATCGGTTGTTGGAACGCTAACGGTTATAAAAATTTGAATAGAAATCTGTGACAGTATATCAAATTCGAAAATAAACATTATCAGCGCTCACTCACCTACATACAAAATAAGTATCGATTATTGGTCCTTTGTCCTTCTTCAAGATATCATATGCTTCTCAGAATTGGGACGCCATAGGATTTTCAACCAATTTGAGATTGTTTTTGACCACTTTGACCGGCTTGCAGTGATTGTTGTTCGCTCGAGTAAATGCCAATTTTACTATGGACCGCAGCAATAAATCTACGTTTCATCCATTGTCACATGCTGCGGGAAAAGAGTCTTTTCATTTCGCCTACGCAGCTTCAGAGCTTCAATCTTCGAAACGGTTTCGTGTACTTTTTCGTGCTCTCTTGCACAATTGCCGAGTGCGAGCAATCAAAGGGTTAAGCATCATCGGTGTTTAAAATTAGCAAACCACTTCTCTACCGTTTATCTCGACAGAGTAGAGCCCAAATAACACTTGTCAAGTCGTTGCTTTGCTTGAACGATATTCTTTCCCATTAAAAGACAATGTGTTAGCAATAATATGCGAAACTCAGATTTCTTTTCGGTTGGAATGTCACGAAATTTTAATATTTTTTAATTTTTACTGTCTACGTGTCTATATGTCATCCTATGGACTTATTGAGTGGTGTGTCAATTTAACATTTTTTTTTTCAAGTAGGCGCGTGAGAACACTTGTGTGTGTGTGTAAAACATGTAAGTGAGAGCTAGTGATGTAAAGTATTCGGATACCCTATGATATTGCAGATAAGTGATAAGTGATTTTGTTCCAGTTATCTAAGCAGCCATTGTTTTTGTCATTGCTTCGTTCAGGAAGTTAAGCGGTGATGGATAGATTGAAAAATGTTTCGACATATTTCGTCTTTGGTTTTTCTTTGTATAAGTTTGCACCTTCACCTTTCTTTTAAAGTATGAAATTTTCTAATCCTATATGAGTAAATCCCCATCCCGCTCTTATATATTTATAATTGGCATGTATATCCCATAACCAGTATGCATTTCTATGTGTTCGGCTTAAAAATATGATTGATTAATAAATAAAATAATTTTTTTTTTTTTCGTATTTGTCTACAATAAGTATATGTGTGAAGAAGCAAAAAAACACAAAATAAAAAAAATTACAAATAAAACTCAATCAACCCTCTTTGTTAAAGAAAAAGAAAACCTTCAGCGAATGGTATGAAATTTTATTTCTATTCCAGGTGGCAAGGAATGCGAATTGTAGTAAATGCTCTCATGTATGCAATACCATCAATATTCAATGTACTTTTAGTTTGTTTAGTATTTTGGTTGATTTTTTCCATAATGGGTGTACAATTTTTCGGTGGTAAATTTTTCAAATGCCTTGACAATGAAGGAGAATTGCTGCCAATAACGGTTAGTTTAAACTACAAAAACAAAAAAAAAAAAACCAAAAAGAAAAACAATAATTGTTTGATATAAGAAAAGGAAACATGAAGAAAATCTCCATCTCTCTCTCTCTCTCTTTCCGTCTCTCCCTCTGTATCACTCGATTCCGGTGTCTTAGGAAGTGAACGATAAATGGGATTGCATTGAGCAAAATTATAGTTGGATCAATTCCAAAATAACATTCGATCACGTAGGTATGGGTTATTTAGCTTTACTTCAAGTGGCCACTTTCGAAGGCTGGATGGAGGTGATGGCCGATGCGGTTGATGCTCGTGGCGTTGACTTGCAACCGCAACGTGAAGCGAACCTTTATGCTTACATCTACTTTGTCATCTTCATAGTGTGCGGCTCATTCTTTACTCTTAATCTATTTATCGGAGTTATCATTGATAACTTCAATATGCTCAAGAAGAAGGTAAGTCACTAACATTCCCATTATGCACTCACGATCAATCAATCAATCAAAAACCAATGTACAAACACTGATTTTTTTTTTTCTGTTTGTATATGTAAAGAAAAGCAATATAGAAAAGAAAATGAATTTTTTTTTCTTGTATAAAATAAAATCACTTTTATTCTTTCCCCTTCCTCTTTCTTTCTTTCTCAATCTTCAACAAAAAAAAAAAAAAAAAAAAACCAACAAAAAATGAAAAATTAAAAAACGCTATTGGAAAACATATTTATAAAAAAATAAAAAAAAAAACATGTATCCATTCATATTGTATAATTTTGTATAGTATGAAGGAGGAGTGTTGGAAATGTTTCTCACCGAATCTCAAAAACACTATTACACCGCCATGAAAAAGTTGGGACGAAAAAAACCACAGAAAGTCATTAAGCGACCAATAAATCATTTTTTAGCTATGTTTTACGATTTATCTAATTCAAGAAGGTAAACAGTTAAAAAAAATATCAAAATCTTAAGAAATAAAAAGCTAAAACTATGATTTAAATGAAATTCATTACAAAAACAAAAAAAGAATATAATAATGAAAATAAACAAAACAAAAATTAAGTAAAATTTAAACAAAAAAAAAAAAAAAAAAAATTTTAATTTTTTTTAGTTTTATTTTGTTTAATTAACATTTAAACAAAAAAAATCCTATAGTAAACTAAGTTCACCGGCTTTTTTAACGCTTTTCAAAAATCAAAATCGATTTTGTTTTTATATATATATGTATTTTTGTTTTCTTTTATAATTTAAACAAGAGAACACATATAAACACGATCCTCATACGCTCTCAGCAACAAGAAACTAATACAAACGAAACCGCTGATTACCTTTCAAAGTGGTTTTATTCATAAATTTTTTGATATAAATGGAACGCTCTCTTCTCTTACTCTCTGTAGGAGATTTATTTGTAGTTTTGTTGGAATCGATATGATTTGGTGATAAAATTATTTAAACACTTGACTCTTCTACTCATAGAGAGAGATGCGAGTTTCTACAGTATTGCAGCCATAAGAACTACTACAGATGCTTACTCAACTTTATAGATTTTTATTTTATATAATCGAAAATAAAAAGCTGTAAAGTCTGGAAATTCCTTTCCTACGAACTAAAAAAACAAAAAAAAAAAAACACTTTTGTACCCATCACAGGAAATATGTTGTATTGTTTAAATGCTTGCAAAGCTTGAACGGTTCCAATTTTGGTCGGCCTATCAGTCATACTTTATTCAAAGAAAGATTAGAAGAGTATGACATCTATTGTTGTATAAAAATTTTTTGTTCATATCGTGCAAGTTTAGGCATTCATTAGCTTTTAAGATTTCGTTAAAGGTGCTGCACTGGAACATGCTTGAAGGGACGTTTCTCCGATTTAGTATTGGTACGGGAACTTTGAAGATTTTTGTGGTGGCTTCGCAGATGTTGAAAAGTCATTACGTCGGGCTTTCCAAGTGATTGCTTAGAAAATTGTATTGCACCTAAACGCTTAAGAAGTAGTTTTCTAAGGACCTATCGGAACTCGTCTTTATCGATGCCTACGCTTGAAGCTTCGATTGGACTTCGTCTCCGAAACTGAACACAGTTCGCCTGCAATTACCAAGCCATTCATAAATGATGGCATTGACATATTAGACCTTTCGACTTAAAGGTCCAAGTGTTGCTTGTGAAATGTTGTCGTAATAAAATCTGCATCTCGTTTAAGGGATTAAATTGTTAAATAATATATGCATGAAATATTAGTTGAAATATATTATACGATACGATACGATACACGATAGTTAGATAGATTCTTACGCTCTTTTGTAGTGAAGCTAGTGGTGTGTACAAAAAAAAAAGAAAAATTCGGCACAAAACGAATTTAATTTTTTTTTTTTTTTTTTTTTTTTTGCTTACTAATGTGATTCGTACTTTGTCAAAAGTAATTGTCCTTTCCTGTCTCTTTCTCTTTCTCTCGCTCACTCTCTAATCCCCATTTCAGTTCAAATCTCGTTTTTCCCCTTTAATAAGAAAAGCAAAAAAAAAAAAAACGAAAAAAAGAACAAAAAAGACAAAAACATGTTTTTTGTTTTTTAATATATGTCTATATATGTCACAATGCATGTAAGACCTTTGTATATAAACCTAATAGGCATGTTTCTGTGTATTTTTCGTAGATACACTGGACACAACAACAATAATATACAAATCGCGTTACTCTCTCTCCATACCTTCCTTTTACTAAATATATATATCTATACCTCTCTCTCGCTCTCTTTGCATTATAAAATAAGAGATATTTTTAACATTGAAACAAACAAATTTCCACATTTAGAAACTGAACATTTACATTTCCTTTCATTTAGTAAAACATAGACACGGCAGAATTGAACCTTTGGTCTGTCTGTTGTGCGTTAAACGATTTTGAAACCATTTTTTTTTTTTTTTTATCCTGAATAGTAATAAAACGTACGGTTTTTTGCCGTAGAATTAGTTTTGTCCGTCATTTTGTGTTCAATTTTTATCGATTTTCGTTTTAAGCGATTTTGAATTAATTTTTGAAATTTTTATTTTTATTTTGCTATACCCTTATTGTTGTTAGTATAAAGTTTTATTTTTTTTTTTCTATAATACTATCAAATCAAATATTAACTAAAGCAAATTTTTAAACCATTTATTTTTAATCCTCTTATCCTCTCAACAAAAAAAAAAAAAAAAAATTTTAAAAATTTAAAAAATTAAAAAAATTAAAAATTTATTTACACCAATCATTATATAATCTCGATATTGAACAATATCATCAATCAACATTACTATCAACATGAAAAACAACAATAATAACAATAAATACAACAACAACAATAACATCAATAATATACAAATCAATTTTGTATAGATTTGAAATCGCAATATTTGTACTGATTTTTTTAAATATGTTAACTATGGGCATTGAGCACTACGATCAACCGCATGCAGTATTTTTTATACTCGAAGTAAGCAATGCATTCTTTACTACCGTTTTCGGTTTGGGTAAGTACCAACTTGAGAGGGCCGAGACGACAATATCTCGCCCGAATGAATAACGCATACGACGGTTATAATTAATAAAAAATTGAATATGTTTTTTTTTTCGTCCCCGTACTTTTATTTTGCTAGAGGCCATAGTGAAAATTATAGGTTTACGTTATCATTACTTCACCGTACCTTGGAATGTTTTTGATTTTTTACTGGTATTAGCTTCAATATTTGGTATTCTCATGGAGGATGTAATGATTGATTTACCGATCAGTCCAACATTGCTGAGAGTGGTGCGGGTTTTTCGCATTGGACGTATATTGCGTTTGATTAAAGCGGCCAAAGGTATACGTAAGCTGTTATTCGCTTTGGTTGTATCACTGCCGGCCCTATTCAATATAGGCGCTTTGCTGGGCTTAATTACATTTATTTATGCCATTTTGGGCATGTCGCTGTTCGGCCATGTGAAACTGCAAGGCGCCCTCGATGATATGGTTAATTTTCAAACTTTTGGTCGTAGCATGCAATTGTTATTTCGTCTTATGACTTCTGCCGGCTGGAATGATGTACTTGAATCATTGATGATACAACCGCCAGATTGTGATCCACATTTTAATCGTCAAACGAATGGTGATTGCGGTCATCCTCTCCTTGCCATTACCTATTTCACTAGTTTCATTATCATCAGTTATATGATTGTGATTAATATGTATATAGCAATTATTTTGGAGAATTTTAATCAGGCTCATCAAGAAGAAGAAATCGGTATTGTTGAAGATGATTTGGAAATGTTCTATATAAGATGGTCAAAGTAAGGAAATCGATTATATTAACACGAGAAACGCCAAAAAAAATTTCTTAATTGATTTAATTACAATTTTTCAGATATGATCCTCACGCCACTCAATTTATACATTTTGGTCAACTTTCGGATTTTATAGCCTCCTTAGATCCGCCATTAGGTATTGGTAAGCCTAATACCGTGGCTTTGGTATCTTTTAATTTACCGATAAGTCGAGGTAATAAAATACATTGCCTGGATATATTGCACGCTTTGGTGAAACATGTTTTGGGTCATGTCGAGGAGACGGATAACTTCAAGCAACTACAAGAACAAATGGATGTGAAATTTAAGAAACAATTTCCAACACGTAAAGAATTGGAAATTGTGTCTTCGACTCGGATATGGAAGAGGCAAGAAAAGGCCGCCAAAACTATACAAAATGCGTGGAGAGACTATCAAAGGTAAGATATTAAATGAATCAATTTATTTATTTTGATTTTATTATAAAATGCACTATACTTGTTTTTAAATGCATTTAATTGAACAGTTGAGGAGTAGGCGTTCTCTTTAATAACTTGGATATAATTTTATTATTAATTATTTTAATGGCGGTACAATTAAGGAAAAAGTGTAGAGAGAGTCTTGCGATTACAAAACAGGTCGAGCAAAGCCGACCATTAGATCCCCTACGCCGCTTTGCCTAATACAGTTATTCACTAATTTTGGGAATAAAACAGACAAAAAATTACACATTATTTCAAGAGTGTACTTTCAATGGAAGCCCGCACATTCGAGGATGCCTAAAACGTCATACGACATGATCAAAATTTGGCAAACTTAATTTGCTTTCTTCAAATTTTATTACTTTTCAGCTTCCGTCATATAAAACGCAACTTGTGATATAAGGGCTTGCAGTTCTTAATAACTCCTCTATACGTTGGTATCAAAAAAATTGCAATTCAAATTCCGTATCGTTAATGGTTTTGCTCAATCGTTACTATGGACTAACTTTCATCATGAAGTAATAAAAAGTAAGCCCATTTGTTTTCGTTATTTGGAAAATGGCCAAAAAAGTGGACTGGTTCGAAAAATTTTCAGTAGCGTTTAGCAGTATACTAAATTTCATCAAAATATCTTATAACTGTGACCCACAGCTTGAACACAAAAGTACGTAGACAAACATTAAACGGACAGACGGAAAAACAAGCTTAGATCGATTCACAAAATGATTCAAGAAATTGATTCTGAATCGTTTGGTATAATAAAACGTGTGTCTCCTTTGATATCTTCTGAATATTACATATGTCCACACAAGCTTAATGCGCCCCATAAGTGGTGCATGCTATAGCAAAAAAGAAAATTATATTCTGCTGCGACCGAATCTCTTATACCTATCACATTTATTCTAAAGAAGATTCAAGAAACGTAAAAAACGAAATTTCCCTACTCTATATCGCCGTGTGGGCGTGGCTGCCTTTTCTATTTTCACAGAATAAAAGGGGAGTTTCTGTCGTGTCTAAAGCGCGCTTTTCCATTTCTGCTGCCATGAGTAGCTTTACCAAAGCAATAACAAGACCGATGGACAGACTGATTGACAAAAAAGTCTAGAACAGTTCAGACTTGCTACTGATTAACAATACATAGGTGTGGTCTCTAAAGCTTTTTTTGGGTCTTGCAAACGTTTTAATAAAATCAATAATCCTTTGGTAATGGACAAAAAAATTAATAAAAAAAAAGAAATTTTGTAAAAATTAAAAAAAAAAAATTTTTGTAAAAAAGGATAAACAAAAAAATAAAAGTTCTTTTAAAAATCAAAAAAAATGTTTACTAAACTTGAATTTTAGGAAGAAAAAGGAGAAAGAACGGTCGAACTCAGGGGATAGTGCTCAAACATCAAGTCCTGGCGGCTGGCATGCCCGCTTGTCTTCATTGAATTTCTTTCATTTACAGGTAGACGTTTCTGTTTCTTTTGTTATCATTTGAGATGGAAACAATTAAAGCCTTTTTCTTGTTTAATAAAAGGTTTCACGTCGCGGCACTCAATGTTCTAGTCGGGCGTCTTCGCGTAAATCTTCTCGTGCGTCAGACGCTTCCGATATCAGTGAGCTGGCGGGACCATGGCTTAATTTACCTTTAATGATGGTTTCTGGTGCCGACGATGTTGTCAGAGATATTAAACAACAAAATGAAGAACTGGGAAAGCGGTATTTACAAAATATTAAATTGTTTTGCAAAAAAAGAAACAAAAAAATTTTTTTTTTTGAATTTCAAAAAAAGAAAAATATTTTTTGCAATTTTTGACGAAATTTTTTTTGTTTTGTTTATTTTCAAAAAAAAAAAAAAAAAAAAAAAAAAATGAAAAACAAACAAACAAATCGTATTTGTTTAGTCCTATTTTTAGAATTTCCTCTTGTTTATCCCTAACCTATGAGTCCCTACTCAACGAAATGGTTAACAACATAATATGCAGTGGTTCCCATGCAAGTGATTTGAATTTATTAACAAATTTCCAAGATTGTACACGAGGTAATTGTTAGTCCTCTCAATATCCACTTTTTCATATATAGTTAAATAATAAAATTAAAAAAATTAAAAAAAAAGAACCAAACAAAATTACTTAATTCATCTTTAAAAGATGTTAAATATCTTATATGTATTCGTAGAAACAAAAAAAAAAAAAAATATTAAATATAATTATCATAAATTATAATACATTTTTTTTTGTTTTTTTTTTGCTCTATAAATAACGTCAACTAAATACCTTTAGTATATTAAAGACGTTACGTTCTCTTATCATTCTCATAATTTCATGCATTTTGTGTAAAACTTTTCAAATCACGTAAACCTTACTTGAATTGGTTGATAACTACACTATTGAAAACATATTACTATTGAAATCTTAACCTAAACGCTGTACTTAGTTTATATCAAATAACATAAGTATATTCAATTTTTATATAATAATATAGTAGTGGCCTCCATTTCCGATCTACATATAAAAAGTGAACAAAATCTTTATGCTTCTTAGTGCGTTGTATGTGAGTTTTCTTGCGTTGATTATCTATATAATAATAAATGCAAAAAAAAAAACAAACCAAAAACAAAAACCAGAAAGAAACATTTTATATGAAACCCACTTCTCTCTCTTTCTCTCTCTCTCTCTCTCTCTCTCTCTCTCTCTCTCTCTCTCTCTGTCTCTCTCTTGTTCCTCACTCGTCTTTCGGCGCTCTCCATTCCCGGTGTCTATCTTTTCCGCTCTCATAACTTAACTTTGATCGCTTAATTTACGTAAGCATTAACTCTCCCTCAATAGTTCACTGCGTGTTTATTCCTCCCCTCGAAATCTTTCATAACATCTACCGTAAAGCTTGCTATACGAGTGTTATTTATTTATTAAGGGCATTTGTGAATTATTGCGAAAAATTGAAAATTTTCCTTCTTAACGATCTTCAAAATGAATTTTCGTAGATTTTAACTATCGGAAAATTCATTTTGAATATTGTTAAGCGTGAAAAACTAAACAACTGCAACGAAACGAAACGAAAGGGAATAAAACATTAATTAGGCAACGGAAAGATGTTTAGTTAAATTTTAATAGCAAATGAAGATCATCTGGTACTTATTTTAAAATATCTAAATGAAAACAATAAAGTGCAGCGAATATATTATGTGATATACATATGTCGAGAAGAAAACAAGTAAAAGCACTATAGTGGGTCCCCGCCCACCATTAAATACCCTACATCACCTTACATTTAGCTCTACAATGACTTTAAGGCGTAGAGTAGCCTGCGGGGGTTGAGTATAAGGAAGTAAGGGGTTTTTAAAACCGATCTGAAAATCGGTGGCTGAAAAACTAATCTGATCTGAAACTTTTGCAATAACATTCGTCCTTGGACCGAACTGTGCTGCCGTACCAAATTTCCTCAACGTATTTTTAAAATTGCGGGATGTAAGTTGGGCACAGGGAAGGAAACAACCCCTACAGGCGGACAGAGAAGCTTAAATCGATTCAGAAAATAACCCCGAAAGTGATTCTGAATCGATCGACGTGAGCTTATGGCAAGTCCTTCTGGGTGTTGCATACATCACACCACAAATTTAATATACCTTTGTACTGCAAGTGGTGTAGGGTACCAGAAAAATGCATGCATCCATGCTTTAAGTTGTGTAAATAGTTTTCAATTAGAAATTATTAAAATAAAACCAAATATTTTGTAAAAGCAAAAAATTAAAACTGGACTTGCAACCCGAAAATTACTTGGCTTTAAAAACTTTTAATTTCTTGATTTGTCCATTTAAGCAGTAAATCTTTGAGGCATTATTTATTATATTTATTTCGAAATGAGTGCAAACAACTGAACGCGTAATTGAAATTATTCGTCAATGTTTTAATAAAGTTCTCATTATATCTAACAAAGTGCACATCACATGATAAATCTGCCAGACGGTTCTATAAAGACGCGCATCTAGCTATGTTTGCTAGAGAAATTTTGCTTCGTCGAACTAGAGATTTCCAGGTATTGCGGATGCTCCCATTTTTACTAAAAATATCGATAATTTTCCGCCTATTCCCGACTGAGCTTTTAGTGTAAGATCTTAAGCTGTTTTTTCGGCTTTTTCTTTAAAAAAAGTTTCGGGTCAATTTCGAATTTAATCAATTCAACTGATAATTTTTTTTCAAAGAAATGTTAATTTTGTTTTAGAGTGGAATTTGTTTTTATTCTGGAATTCCATTTGTATACTGATATCATTATCTTTCTAAATAAAATTAAAAACTAAATTAATTTACGGATCTGTCAACGGAAATTTACCAAAAAATGATAATTGTAGTCCACACCATTTGTGGTACAATGGTATCTTAAGGTTGTGCGGATCTGTGTAAAACATAGAAGGACTTGAGGTAGGCTCGTCTTCTTCGTCCATCTGTCCGCCTGTCCGTCTTTTTTTCGTGTGCTCAATCTAGAGACTGAAATTTTTAAGATAGGGATTTTGACGGCGAACGCTCTTGAAAATGATTCTGATCGGATCACTCTTTCGACCAGCTCCGCCCGATTTTTAAAAATCGTTACATGAACAATTTTATTAAGGAAAGTGGCGTAGAATATTTAGTTATGGATCTTGTGCCACGTAGTGTTTTTACTTATTCAATTTGATTTCGTAGAGAAGCCATATACTGGTCTACAAGCTTAACCTTCTTGTTTATTGTTCTCAAGGAAATTCTCTTTGCAGAGAAGGTTTTCATGCAAACTCTTTCAACACATGTTCATTCACCTGTAATTACAATGACGAAACAGTCGGTTTGGTGAAAAATTCTAGAGTCTGGCAAGCCTTGATTCCAATTACAGGATATCGTCTTCTTAAAAGTGTGTTTTAAAATGTTTTCTTACATATTGAATGTTTGTACTCTACCCCACTTGCAGTTCAAGCCCCATTAGCTTTGAGGTGTTCTACCTGAATGATGTCTTTCCACCTATTTTCATGTTCAGTACTATAAGAGGTTTTATACACTGAAACTTTTTGGCCTAAGATTGATTATGCGGGTAGACACAGTCAAGGCTTCAGCCTGGTCACGTTTTTAAGGTACACAGAGTATGAAAACTGAAACTTTTCGCCAAGGAGGTGTTTAGTCCCTGGATATTGAAAGGACACACGTGTACGGACGTGATAGGAGCGAGCCCGATGCCTTACTTTGTGTCATGCACTCGGTTGCAACGCATGTTCGCACCAAGCAAGCATGAAACAGTTCCCCGCGCTTTGAGTTAACTAAATCCAACACAAATCTGCCGCAGCAGATTGGTCCCGCCGTCAGGCCAGAAGTTAGAAGCGTTTAAAAGAAGAAAATGGATCTCAAATTTCCGCTTAGGACTTTCATCAGGTCTTGCTAGAAAATCAGCTAAATCGATTGACCGGCGCTATACACCAATAAGACTACGTGAAAATATGACATAAAACTATAATCCACGATCAATATATAAAATGATTCATTCTTCATTTTATCGTGCAAACAAACATTCCATTGTACATGTGAAATATTCGACCTAAGACACATCCAAATTCTTTTTTATACATTGTTATTATGTTTTAATAGAGTGTATATGATAGGATCAGTTTAGTGAGTGAACAGATCATATATTTGGTAAAAAACAGAATATTGAAGTTAGTTAGGACTTCTAAAAGACTCGACCTAATCTGAACATCATTTCTTACTTATCCGATACTTTGTATAAGAGTATTACCCTGTATCTCGTTAGGAATTCTTTAAAATTTATGTTTGCTCGAAGTAGAAGTGAATGACAAAAAAAAATAAATAAATAAATAAAAAAAAAATAAATTAAGAAATATAGATTTTTTTTTTTAACTACACTGAGGGACACGCCTGCTATTATGCCTGCAACAGCTACAAGCTATAGATTGCAACAAATCAAGTCTTTTAAATACTACACCCTTCATCCCCGACAAGAAAAAAAATGCCCTTTTGAGTTGATTTTTAACATTTTCTGTTTTTATTTTTATTCTTATTGTCGTTGTTGTCGTTTATATTCAGTTTCTCAACAATTATCATAAAAAACATTTCGTCAAAAACTTGCTGTTTTATTAAAATGAAAATAAAAAGAAAAAAATCACTTGCTTTTTTATAAAAAAAAAATTTTTTATATTTTTATTTAAAAATTGGTAAATTTTTTAAACATAACATATGTTTATTTTTCTTTTTTTTGTTTTGTTTAATCGTCTTTTTTACAAAAAAAAAAAAAAAAAAAAAAAAAAAAAAAAAAAAA